CCTCCCAGGCTTGTAAAATTTAGATCCTTTGGGAGAGTCAAAGCCCAATGCTGAATTGTGGTGCGAAGGGTACCTTTTCAAGAGAAACACAAGGAATCTCTCGTGTTCCTTTTGTTTTATGGGTCTTCAAAAAACTCAGGGAAGCTGGAATTGGGAGGTCAAAGTATGTATTCTGATTTGGGGTGGAGAGGAGTGTAAAAACTCTTTGTAGAAATTCCATGTTTTAGGTAGGCTCAGGGGGTTGACAACTGTATTGGTTTCCCAGGGCTGCTGTAACAAGGCACCACAAACTGGGTGACTTAAAACAACACAAATGGATTGTCTCCCAGTTCTGGAGGCTAGAAGTCTGAAATCCAGGGGTCGGCAGGGTCGTGCTCCTCTGAGTCACGTGGGGGAATCCTTCCTCTCATCTCCCTAGACTCGGGTGGCTTTCTGGCAATCTTTGCTATTCTTTGGCTGGCAGCTGGATCCCTCCACTCTCTGCCCTCACCTCACACAGCGTTCTCCCCGTGTGCCTTTGCCCTCCCATGATTGTCTTCTTATAAGGGCATCAGCCATACTGGACCGGGGCCCATCCAACTCCAACATGACTTCATCTTAGCGAATCACATTGCAAATCGCCGACAACCTGATTTCCAAATAAGATCACTTCATGAGATACCGGCGATTAGAATTTCAACGTACCTTTTCAGGTGGACCTAATCCAAACCGTAGCAATGACGATGATGCACGACGGATGACACTCGATGGGCAATGAAACGTTCTGCGATTCACCGAGTAAAATGGTCTCTGTATGCGCTATTAGTACAAGAGCCCCAAGTGGCTGGAGCTAGTGGGAAGAAAGTTTCTGGAACCAGCAACATCACTGGTTTTATCAAGAGGTGGTGTGATTTCTCAAATTCTTATCCTAAACAAAGATGGCAGATCTCTAGTGAACAATGACATTCCTAGAGCAGACTGATAAACTTCAAAGGAAGAGCAGGAGTCATTTAAAATATGGTCAACAGGCAATACATTTTTCTTAGGAATTCGTTTCTAATCCATGTCACAGAGAGATAGATCACTGAGTAAACGGGCAGGCATGGTAGGTTTCAGTCTCAGTAACACTGGCTGCGTAAGCAAATCATTTTGTCCCTCTGATGTTCATTGACCTACCTAATAATTTGTTCTGTGGTGAAGTATACATCACTGTTTGCCCCACTCACAAACCTGAAGAAACAGTGTCTTACAAACTCTTCTTGCTGAATAAAAAGAAACCATATGTATAGTGTATCCACCCCTCTGAAATACAGGTTGACGTGGGCAACTGATTCTGGGCAACCCACCCATCAATTTCCCTCAGTGACCTCTACTGCCTCCAAGAGAGTCAACAGGCCAATCGTATTTCTGTCAGGAATTTGAAACAAGAAACTATGAAGTGTTAGAGTGGGAACTATAGCTATAAAATAATGGGGCAAGAATCGGAACTAGGAAGGCCCCTCGTGACTATAAACATCTCACTTCTGTGTTTAGGTGATATAGTCCAATAATTAGTTAATAATTAATCATTTCCATGAAGCTCACATCTTTTAATGTATCAATAACACTTACTTATTTATCGCTCTCCTTATTCCAAAACAGATGAAAGCATCTGCAGTAGACATTTGTTTTGTCTGTCTGGCATCGGACTTTATTCTGTGACTAATGACCCACTTATTTTAGAGACCTGGTCTTCCCCCAACGCTAAGTGTTTCCAGTCAATCATATTACTCCACACCACCGGCCACAGAGGTGGACCTATGACCTTGCAGGCAGGCCAACCTGTGCTTCCTGAGACTTTCAGAATTAGACCTATGGGGACAAAGGAAGTCCTTTTCCTGGACCTAAGTGCTACTGGGGCCATATCTCCAGCTACGTGGAAGGAGGTAGGAGAATGAAGTCAGTGCACAGGAGGAGAGGAGACACGGTGAACCCTAGCATCATGCTTCCCTACAACTTGTTGCACTCCTACGCTTCCCCCTCTATGGCTAAACGAGCCAATCAGTTCCTCTTTTTGCCCAAGCTAGAGGGTTTCTGTTATTTCTAGCCAAGAGTTCTGGCTAATATAGAAGCTGATATTAAGTTCTATTTTGGTTTGGCTTTTAATGTCTAAAATATTATCTTCAAACATAAGCAGAGAAGTCTACTGGAGAAAAATACCTTGAGGCACCATTCGCCAAAAGAGCAAAATCTAAGATAGTAGGTTACAGAAGAAAGGCTCTAAAGAAAAAACACTAAGCAGGAACCTACCACTTAGATTATGTACAGATCCTTTATCCACTCAATGCCAGAGGCATCTATAAATGAAGATACTGTCCCTGAACTACTTATAGAGAGTACAAAATGAAGGTCGTAAAGTGCTTTGAGCAACTTGAAAAACAGTATTTTTAAAATCTAATGTATAAACACATATTTAGAAATTTGGAGCCATTTCTTAATATTCCTGTTGTTCAATTTCTTTCTGTAAAATGGGCATACTACTACCTCTCTTGCGGAGTTGCTGACAGACTTATCAACCATATATGTATATGTGAAGCTGGGAGCGCATGACTCAACCTAAGGCTCATCTGCCAGAAAAGGAGGTAACCCTGCGTCTTTTGTAGGAGTCACCATTGGGAGGGGGGGCTTTCGTGGAGTGGGGGGTTTTCTGCAGAGATTGTATGCTTAGGTCCTAGAGGAAGAGGCAGGAGAGCGAAGCATGAGGAGATGGTATGGTGTTTGGTCCTACCCCAGCCCGATGGCAGCCCCTACGAGGAGAGGGGGGTAAGGACCCTGTGCTCTGGGAAACAGCACTATTTCAGCAACTTCAGAGTTCTCCAGTTGGGGAACATCTAAGCAGTGCCACAGTCTCCTGCAGGAACAGCAGCAGCTAAAACAGTGCAGGCCCAACAGAAGCCTGGCAGGAGAAAGCTGCACCCAGGAGCGTGAGCTCGTTTGCGAATCAGTGAGGAGCCCCTGGGACTTCCAGAAATACTTGGGGAGAGGGCTTTTCAGGAGCCTGAGATCCTGTGTGAGGTGATGGAGTCCTGAGTCAGCAAACTTTGGGTGTAAAAGCTAATGTGACTTTATTCACAGGAAGAGGGTGTTGATCGTTGAAATAGTTGGGTTCAATATACAGTAAGATTTGGCCCGTGAGTGCTGAATGGCTTTATTGTCATCCTAAGATAGCTCGCCACAGGATTCTCAATGTAAGATGGGCCAGGTGGATGTTACAGGGCTTTGAGGATGAAGTCACAATTCTTCTGTGTTAGTTAAAAGCAACATTCGCTGAAATCAAGCATTTAGATTGCTGAGGGTAGAATAGTTTACTGACTTACATGTGCCCTCGCCTCATTCTCTCAAGAAACTGAGGTCTCTAAGCAAAATAAATTACCCCAAGATTACCGTTATGCATCAAATTTTCAGGTAAACATTAACACAGTTTAACTCTTGTTAGTGACATCTACATTTTACAGTACAAAGTTATTTTTTTTTCTGAAAAAAAAGGCATTCAATATTTTATAACTGCTGTTGGGCCACTCTAACATTTTGTTATCAAACATACCACTAACGACAAAAAAAGTAAACTTACATAAATCTCATGCGGCAGGAATTATCACCAAGATTTATGTTGCGTGGGTTAAAAAAGTCCATAAACTTAGTAACCAACGAACCAAAATACTATAGTGGAAGCAAAGAACAAATAGGCTAAAAACTCTTTCCGATTGTTCTTTTTAAAGAAAAACTTCAACTTGTTCATCATTTTCTTAGTCTTACCTGAATAACAATGACAACAGTGAGTACTGGTGACAGCCACCATTCTAACCCTCTACGGGAGTTACAGCGGTGGCCCGGGAGGTGCCCTTTAGGTGATGAGAATTCGACTTCATGAGGAGCTTATATAGAAAGTCTGACCTAGGAAGCATTTGTGTGTATGAAGCCCCACATGGGTTATTCTACCATCTGCACTAATCTATAGAACGCAGGAGTTGCTTTTCTTCTCGAAGTCCTTGTAGTGACCAGTTTTTAGCAGTAGCGTCCTGACTTCTACGATGGCCATCTACTGGGTGAGTGCAATATTAGAATCATTTCCATTGATTTTTTTTTTCCTGTTTGTTTTTTCTGCACTAAAGGGTGAATCACACAGAGACGGAGAATCATCTGTATGTTGTTCATTATCTTTTGTCTTCAGTGCATGCTGGGTAATAATAGCTACAAGAGCTTCAGGAAAGAGGGAAACAGCCACATGACAGAGCGATTATGAAGGCAGAATTCCCTGCTATGTTGTTTTGTGATTGCTAATGTTAACTGTAGCTGTAACTGTACAAGTAACTGTAGTCATTTTAATGAAATCTGATACTGTTTTAGCAAAGTGTTTTCAATTTTGGAGCTCAGTTCGGAACAGCACGTTTACCTACCTACAGAAATGGTAATTGTGCTTTTGACAAAGGCTCAGTCAACCCATGAGGCTTTTTTCAGACCAGAATTATCCTTCTAAGATATAGGGAGACTAACTCATTTAATCCTCACAACAACCCTAAGAGGTAGCAACTACTGTTGAATATTTATTTAGTATTTACTATGTCCAGGTACTGTATGTATGTTAATTAAAACAGTCATTTCAACAACTCTGGGTGGACTCTACTGTCGATCCCATTTAATAATGAGAAACTGAGACACAGGCAGATTAGGTAGCTCGCCCAAACTAAAATTAAATGATGCTAGTCTGTATTACAGAACAAAGAGCTAAGAGCTGCCATGAGTGTCAGTAATATTTCTAACAACAAAGGATTTGAAGGCATATGATCTTTCACTGTCCTCCTCAGCTTTCTCTGCCCCCACCATGACGGGGTATGAGAACAGGAAGAAACGGAAATGGGCAACATGCAGCAGGTACCTCAGCAACACTGCCCGGCCACCTGGCCTTGGCCATCCATACCTAACGTTCTTCGAGTTTTCAAGCACGGTTCACAAATAAGGAGGCCGAGGGCACCGCAAAAGCATTACTGAAAACATAAGCACACAAGTGACTTTTAATATTAAAATACTTCGTGAAACGGTATATAACATTATATACTCATTATCTCTCATTAGTCTCTGTTTTAAAAGCTTTCAACAACAAGTCTGCTGCTAGTCCTGGGGACAGGGCCCCACTCAGAACCTTTCTTTCCAGGAGAGGGATCTGTTCCCGGACTGTGGGGTGCATCCGGAAATGTTCTAACACACTTTCCTGAATGAGATTCCACATCCAAACTTTCTGCTGCTTCTGTCGTCTGGCAATCATCTCCCCACTGGCAAGCATTAGGTCCCGGAATTCCTTCATTTTATCCCACATTTCAGTGATCCCCTCTCCACTTCTGGAGGAAATACGAACTACCTATTGAAAAGGGAAAAACCAGAACTATTTTACTTATAATGATAGAACACATTTTCATAGGGACTCTGATATTTGCCAATTAATGCTTACAGTTTATGGAAATAGGCAAGTGGCAAAAATGAGACGTTTTATCGCTCTGTCAAAGTTAATATACTGAGGTAACATGCTAGGATTCCTAAGTGCATAGCAGAAAGAAATTACTGATTCAAGGTCAAGTTCTTTAGTTCAGAGGTTTATTTGAATTTAGGATTGCTCGGATGGTCTCCAGAGTCTTCATGGAAGAACTGTGAGAGGGTCACAAGGATGAGAAGAGCAATCCTAGGAAGGTTTCTCTGAGGCCTGAGAGCCAGAAAATGAAACTAAGTTGAGCAAACAGCCCCGCTGCCTGTCAGAGTTGCCTGATTCGGGAAGTGCTGAGAGCTGAGCGTCCAGCACCTGCATGTACCAGACGGCTCAGGCCCAACATACAAGGTGACTGGGGAGACTGGGAGCTGAAGGTCAGCTATGTCATCACTATAGTGATTATAGCCTTCTCTTTAATAACACGTGTCCTCCTGCAGTAAAGCTGTCCACATCAATATCATTGCATCACCTACAACAAGATTTTCCTTTTTCTTCTTTTCCCTTATTAAAACAGTACCCAACAAGTATAATGGGAAGGGAAGTTATCACATTAAGACCCTTTTCTCTCTTACTCAAACTCTAATATAGATAATCAAATCATTAACTGCTCCATAATCTTAAGGACAGGTCCCCTTTCAGAATGGATTTGCTATCACTTCCAAATGGCTTGAGTCAAGCATTAAGCAATCTAATCTATCACCTCACGTCTAGTTTTTGACATCTAGCGGTTGAAGGATTATATTTAAAATCATGATTGCATACTCTGGCTTTGTCATAATTTTTTAAGTTGTAATCTCACACACAAACCAAGATTGACTATATGTCTAGCTTGGGGCTTTCACCCTCTCTTCCACTGTGCATAGTCCACTCCAGGTGCAAAACGTGGAACGGAAAGCAAGCTCACCGTGGGTCTCCAGACTTCTGACCGCTTGCGGAGTAATTTCAGCGCACTCACATACTCCGCTTGTATCCTCCGCGCTGGCACAACCAAGTCCCCGTCAGATTTAGTTATAGCTACCAGATCTGCCATCTCAATTATACCTCTTTTGATACCCTAAAGAAAGAGGTTTATCAGGATCATTCAATTACAGCAAAAAACGCTAAGATTTTGAAAGTCATACACTTCTTTAATGTTTTCTATGCATCCTCCCAAGCCCGGGGTACCAGGAACCACAGTGACTCGACAGAAATTACTCAAAAGCACCTGCTCTTGGGATTATGGAAGTCATCTGTAACGTCTCTTCTAAATTTAGAGACTAACATGCTGAAATACATTCAGAATTCGAATAAGTGTATCATCAAGATACATGATTGAGTGGCAGGGGGCAGTTCACATTGTCTCATGATGGATTCTGCTTCATGAGCTAACATTGCAGGATGCAAAACCATCCATCACTAAGGTGCTTTAACAGAAAACACACCTAATACTAAGATATGCATTTCCAGAAACAAAGTCTTTGAAGTTTTCCTTAAATGTATATATAGTTTTTTTCCAATTTGCATTTAAGAAAAAATAACCTGAAGGCAAAAAAAATCCCTCACTCTCTTAATTTAAATTACATTGCATAAAAACATTAGAAATCCGGGCCAGCCGAGTGGCGCGAAGGTTAAGAACTGGCTTGGGACACCAGAGGGCCCCGGTTCGGATC